TAGAGACCTCACTTTTGTGACCAAATTGACTACTGCTTTGGGCTGAGGAGGTGCTGACATATCCAGATGGTAGAAGTATTGCTGGGTAAATCTGATTAGGGAATGGCATAGCAAGAAGTAAAAAATCCTTCATCAAAAAATATTCATTAAAAGAGATGATCATGTTTTATATTTGATTGAAATAAGGGGAACTAAAAAATGCTAAATTTGGTACAACTGTGATCATGAAAGTGAACATTCACATATGTCTTTAGAATAAATTGGGGGTGTTCATTTTCAGTAAGGATAAGTAGCATGATTCTGGAATAAGAGTGCAGAGATGTCATAACATTTTCTTCATTTCCACTTAATGCTAGGAGAAATAAGGATTTTATTGCAGTAAGAAAGGAAATATTTAAAGGTTTTTTTAAAAAATTAAAGATAAATATTTACTTCTTTTTATTGTTATTCTTTGTGACCCAGTAGAATGCTGGAAACAAATTATACAAAGTTGGTTGGGTCTGTGTCACCATGATAATTCTCTGAATCTGAGCAAGATAGGACCAGATTTGATGTGAAGCTAGGGAAGAACCTGGCAAAAGAAAGACTGAATTTAAAAATGGTCCAGAGTTGAGCCAGGAATTGTGGAGAAAAAAAAAATAAGGTTTTTCCCCCAGTGCCTCCCTATGGAAAATGCAGTTGGGCAGCAGCATGGAACGCTGCTGACAACTCCATTCTAAGAGTCTGTCCCGCTTCCTTCTGGATCATGTGATTATTGTTAAGGGGTTGGGAAGAATTCCAAGAGTTTGTAGTCTGCATGCTTTTCTCACTTCGTTTCATGATTGACACTTTTATAAACTTTATCTAGTCACTACCTCAACTGAAAAAGAGTCGTTAGACTTAATGTGCTTAAAATTTTCTTTTCATTTTTTATTCTTGATGTGTCAGTGGCACTTTTAATTATTCCTATCAATTGTCTGGCAGATAGGAAGTGCAATCTAACCCATTTTTATCATGCATATTTTTGCTCCTTTTATGTTTTTTTCCTCTTAGCTAGAATGATTGAAGATACTAATAACTTCTTTTAATCAGTTTTATTATCCTGAAGAAGGATTCACAACTCTGCAAATATCTTGAATATTTTATGCCCTGCAGTGGCCTTTTTCTCCACAATTCAGTAGTATCTATTTTTGGTTACAAAAGAATTCCAGTAAAGCAAATATGCCCTATATTATTAAAAAGGACCTATCATTACCGTCATCATTACCCTTTCAGAAATCAAATTTGGTTGAGTATTAGTAATTTTGAAATGAAATGATACCCCCCGAATAATATAGTGGTTTCAGCATATTTGGGAACATAATTTACAGTTTGTCAATTAAAAAATAAAATAAAAATCATACCCATAATACAGCCATTTGAGCTTCTAAAAACCTGTAAAATGTTCATAGAGAAGAAAATCCTCGATCATTTCATTGCTGGAAGGAAAATTTCTAGTTCATTGGATATAGAAGATATGAACCTATTCAGATATTATTAAAATAGCAAAAAACTAAGCATTCAGTGATAAGCCCCACTGAATAGCTCAGATAATATTAGCCATTTTAAGACAACCATGCATTCACTGCAACTGTCTACAGGAGAAAAACCTTTGCTCATATAACTGAACTTACATTGGCAACTGTACAAGTAATTCATACTGTAAGATCCTGGATCATATGGAGGCTAACATGCACACAGTTGTTTCTTCATTCATTCATTCATTCATTCATTCATTCAAAGAGGCCACCTGACTCTTCAAGACTGTGGTCAGTTTACAATTTTAAAAGCAAGAAATAACCACCACCACAACAAAGATTATGCACAAGTGAAAGAAAACAGATACAAAATAAATTAGAACATTCTGCATCCTTGAGACTCACCCTACCCCAAGGCTTAGGAGACAGCTAGTTTTTCAATGACTTTCTGAACATCTTCGGGATAGGAGCCATATGGATTTCTGAGGAGATGCTGTTTCAGAGAGCAAGGCAATGTCCTATAAGATACTGTTTAATTGAAGGGATCTGGAGCACACCCACTTTGCCTGATCTTACAGGATCGGCAGAAACTATGGGAGGGAAGTGATCCCTCGAATAACAAGACCCTATGCACCAAAGGGCTTTATAGCTGGTAACTAGCACTTTGAATTGTACCCAGAACCCAACTGGTAACCAGTGCAGCTGACAGAGCAGTGATGTCACATGGGCATACAACGGTCTACCCAGTCTGTCACATTCTGGACCAGCTGTAGTTTCTGAATGGTCTTCAAGGGCAGCCTCATGTACAGCACATTACAATAGTCCATTCATGAGGTGACTAGGGATTAAGCAACCATTTGGAGGGCCTTCCAATCCAGGAATGAGTGCAACTGACCCACTAGATGAATCTGTGGAAAGGCCTTGGTCAGAGCTTCCATGTGTTTTTCAGGCAGGAGCTGTGAGTCCAAGAAGACCCACAGATTGCTCTCCAGTCTCTAATGGAAAGTGCTACCCCATCCCACACTAGAGATGGAGAATTCCCAGGATTATGGGATCCTTCTGGACCATCTGCAATGATGGGGATTGGAGACACTGTTCTTCAGTGTTTCCACTTCTATCTGAATAGGCTGTACCAGTCAGTAATTATGGGAGAAGAGTAGTCAAGCCCATGATTCTTAGGTATGGTTCCACAGGGTTTGGTCCTCTCTCCCTAGTTATTTAACATCTACATGAAACCATTGGAAGAGATAATCTTTTGATTTGGAGTGAGGTATCACTATGTCAATAATGCTGAGTTGACCATTACCACTCTATGGCAGACCAAGGATGCTGTGGAAGACTTGACTCAGTGCCTGGAGGCTGTGAGGGCCTGGGTGAGTCACAAGTTCATCCTGCAAGAAAGAGTTGATATTCATTGGTGATAGATCTGGTTCTATCCCAGGCCTAGCTCCGACACTCGGCTATTATGAGGATGTTCAGGTGCTAATGATGTGATGGCTGCATTAATAAGTTTATGAGCCTGTTTTGTTGTGGTGTGCTGTTTGAATTTTATGTATCTTCCTTGCTTGAGTCCAACAAAGAAGGCAGTATATAAAATCTGGTATGCCTAAGTGGCTCCATCTCTGTGGCATATCCTGCCCCTGGAGAGCTCATTGGCACCCTCTGCCATGGTGATTAGAAAGATGGTGAAAACAAAGCTTGTTCACAGAGCCTTTAATCTCTAATTTTAATTGTAAAAATTGCTGTTGGTTAACTGACTCTGGGAATGATTGATGGTTTTATAGATTTTTAATGCCATGCACTGGTTGTATGGGTTTTACAGAGTTATATTGTAAACTTCCAGGAGTCTTTCTGACATCTTGGCAATACACAAAGCAATCAGTAAAAAACATTGCTAGATAAGGGCAAAGGATGACCCTGGTGGAAGGACAGTTTCTTCTCTAGCTCATTAATTGGTAAGAAAGTGCAAGTCAGCTCTGGCCATTCCCACAGTGCCAATAGTCAGGATGATTATAGGCTGTTGTGCAATTAGCTCTGAGTGTCACAGGGACGATGATGCTGACCATAGAGAAGGGCTTTACTGTCAGGGTACTAGAGAATTTCTGCACAATTTTCTTGGTAGTGTTTTTCAGCATATTTTATTGTTAGACTTGTCAGAAAGTGCTACTGTGATATTCATATTTCCATTACTGTAAAGCCTCCCGGGCTGCCTGCACATCCCAGCTTGAAAAAGCCTAATAGAAGCTAATCATTCATGATATCTTCCTTTTAGGATTTAATGAAAACATGGGAAGCTGTAGACTAGATGTGTGCAAAATGTTTCAAAGCTGGACTGTTTTAAATTCAAAACAAAATATTCCTCTCTCACTGGAAGTGCTCTGATACTGTTCCAGCCTCACCAGAAGTATTCTCACCTCCAAATGGGGCTGTTTTGAGGTCAAAACACTTCCAGTGAGGCTAAAACAGTTTGAAACATTCTCCACACCTCTTCTACAGATCCCTGGAGAGATGGGTTGTACAGTGAAAGGCTAGTTGTTCACACACACTCTTTGGCTATCTCATAACTAAAGAAATACAAAAATATCCTACCCCTTCCATGAGAATTTAGCTGAAATACTCTTATCCTTTGAAATATGAGAACTGATAAAATCATTCAATAATTTTTTTTGGCACTGCACTACAAAGATCCAAGTGTTTATTTTATTTTATTTTATTTTATTTTATTTTATTTTATTTTATTGTATTGTATTGTATTGTATTTTATTGTATTTATTTGTTAGCTTACATCCTACCTTCTTATTCAAGGGCTCAAGGCAGTATATACAGCATTCCTTCCTCCTGTTTTCCTCCAAAGCAACCACTCTGCAAGGTGGGTTGGGCTGAGAGAATGGCTGGCCCAAAGTATCTCAGTGAGCTTCCGTGTCTAAGAACAAGAATCTCCCTGATTCCAGTCCAGCATCTTAACTACCACACTGCACTGGCAGGCCAGTGGTAGGAATGCTCATGTGTTCATTTTGTTCTTGTACTGCCCTGCCACTTTAGATCTCTGTCCCTTTGCTTGTTTAATTATCTTGAATGCCTCATTTTGGAGAACTGGAATTGTTCTCAAGGCTGCTATTTGAAGTTCTGGACTTAGTATGATTACATACTGGGAGTTGCATGGACTCTTTATTTTTCAGATGTTCTCCAATCCACAGCTCTAAAAATAACATCATGATCCCGGAAAATGTATTCATTCATAGTTACAGTAATTGTAGAACATTGTGGGAGCAATTTAAGCAATGTAATGTTTGTATTATAGTAAATGTACATTATGGTACTAATATAATGCTTACAGTATTGCCAAAACTCAAGTTCCATTCAGCTTCTCTGAGTCATTTCATATGCTACTTTGTCTGTAAGTATAACAAGAACAGGAGAGGTAAAAAGGTAAATATAGTAGCTGTTAGAAATGAAGAAAATGTGAACTGACAGAAACATTTCCAATTGTTTGTTTCTCTGCAGACAAAAAGGAAGTGAAGGTGGGAGAGTATAATGCTATACTTGATTCACTGGAAATCATCAACAATTCCATCAAATTCCATGGTAAGACAGGAATACAGAAAGGGCACATGATTGGTGTATTTCTGTATAAGGCTTAGCTCACAGGCAATACAACACAACTAGAGCTTTTTCTATAGTGCTGCTGGGAAAAGTCCATTGACTGCCTTAAGAAATCTATAGTGATTGACTTGCATTGAGAGATCAATTAGGGGTTTATTGACATTAACTTTTTTATACCACCTTTCCTTGGTGATATGGCTAAATAAGAACTGAGCAAAAAGACACTTTAGAAACCAATAAAGTGAGTTCCCTACCATAGTTGCTGAGGGAAGGGATGAGTCCTCACTAATAGTGATCCTGCCAATCAATGCTAAACATATGAAAAAGTAAATTATAAGAACACTTATTTCCTCCATTAACAATTCAGTGCCCTCCCAGAAATCTAGAGAGTTCTTTTGTTCATATCTGGGAGGTAATACATTCTGACTGGAAAGAGGAGTAATTATCAGAATTAAAGAAGCAAAGAGAATGTACTTTTTGGTTAGGAAGCAGAGTTTTTCTAAAACTCCTCTTAATATTTTCCAGGTGACTTTTAAATCTTTTTGAGAAGTCTTAATCTGGAGATTTAGAGAGAAACCAGAAAGTAGAATAATAATTCTAGTAATTCATGCGAATGTTATTTTAAGT